AAGTAACCAGCAAAATAAGAATCTTAAAGTTTACAGAATGCCTCATCTAAATCTCTCATTTCAGAGATGAAGAAAATAAGATTCAATGGGCTTATGTGACCGACCCAAGAGTACACAGTTACTTATGAAGTGGCATATTCAGGACCAGTACCTAGAAATGATTTATTGCCCAGTAAACCACATACGCAAATGTTGATTAACTTCACTGGAATGAATAGATACTCTTTGGATTATCTTTAGAGTACCATCATTTTTTAGAAATGAGAACAGCTGACATGGACAAAGTGGTAACAAAGAGTCAAAATTAGAATTATTTGAACGAGGTCGTAGTTACCTTTATATCCCGTATCCCATATCCCCTAATCCCATAACTCTGTCATTATCTTCAGTGACTGATGATGTCTGTAGAGTAACAAAGAAGAGAGTCAGAGAATTCATTTTCACAAAAGCTTTTTTTTCAGTTGTAAATATTTATTCCTGATTGTAGTTTGTTAAAATGAGCGTGCCTTCCTAGAGGAAACTTCAACTGGCCATAGGAAATAAGACTGCCCAGGGTTAAAAGGACCGTTCCTTTCAAGAACTAACTCTACCAGTGCTCCTGCAAAGACACATGGAACCCAAGGGAGGCACCCTGAGGTATCTGATGCTTCTTCAGCTGGGAGTTATGGGTCTCCCTATTGAGGCTGTATATAGAAGAGAAAGCTGAAAGACCATTGAACTATGTAGCCAAATTATTCTACACTTTAATATCTCCAAGTGCATAGTGTTAATGAAAGGAGTAGCGTATTATATTTGAAAGAACATAAGCTTTGCAGCCATGCAGTTAGTGGCTGCTTACTACCTGTGTGAGCTTAGGTAAATGACTTAATCTCGCTGAGCTTCAGTGTCCTCAACAATAAAACAGGAATCGTAAATGATACTTTTCCAGAAAGTTGTTTGAGAGTACATGAGATTGTGTGTGAAAATCCTAAGCAAAGTACCTGGTGTTACAGGCCAAAGGCAGGGATAATGTTTGATTTCTTCATGGAATTAAATATACACCAGATTTTTTTTTTTTTTTTTTGAGACCGGGTCTCATTCTGTTGCCCAAGCTGGACTGCAGTGGTGCAATAACGGCTTACTCCAGCCTCAAAGTGATCCTCCCACCTCAGCCTCCTGAGTAGCTGGAACTATACAGAGGCACATGCCACCATGCTTAGCTAATTTTTTTCTTTTAATTTTTTGTAGAGATAGAATCTTGCTATGTTGCTCAAGCTGATCTTGAACTCCTGACCTCAAGTAATCCTCCTGCTGCCTCCTGCCTCAGCCTCCCAAAGCACTGGGATTATAGGTGTGTGAGCCACCACACCAGGTCTATGGCAGATTTTTTTTTTTTTTTTTTAATTTCCGACAGGGTTTTACTCTGTTGCCCAGGCGGGAGTGCAGTGGAACAATCTTGTCTCACTGCAGCCTCGACCTCCCCGACTCAAGCAATCCTCCCACCTCAGCTTACCAAGTAGCTGGGACCACAGGCACCACCACACCTGGCTAACTTTTTGTATTTTTTGTAGAGATGGGTTTCACCATGTTGCCCAGGTTGGTCTCAAACTCCTGGGCTCAAGATGCACCCACCTCAGCTTCCCAAAGTGCTGGGATTACAGATGTAAGCCATTGTGCCTAGTCTAAAGTGTCTCTAAGGCATTTGTGAATAAAGTCTTGTCCATTTCAGATTATTTTATTGGGTATTTGAGATATAGAATTGAGTATTTCTCCATGATAAATGTATAAATCAGCACTTTTTTTTTTTTTTTTGTGGGAAAAAGTGTGTCTGGGCCGGGCACAGTGGCTCATGCCTGTGATCCCAGCACATTGGGAGGCTGAGGCAGGTGGATCGCTTGAGCCCAGGAGTTTGAGACCAGCCTGGACAACATGGCAAAACCCCACCTCTGCTAAAAATACAAAAATTAGCCAGTCTCATACCCAGTCTCAAAATTAATTAATTAATTAAAAAATAAAAGATTAAAAAAAGAGACACTTTAAATGGTTTAAAACATCCCTACTCCAGATTTTGTTGCTGTTTGCTTTTTGTAGTTTTGCTGTGCCTTCCCCATGATAAAAAGTGCTCTTAAAACTTGCCAGCTGCCTGGGTGCAGTGGCTCACGCCTGTAATCCCAGCACTTTGGTAAGCTGGGGTGGGCAGATCAACTGAGGTCAGGACTTCAAGACCAGCCTGGCCAACATGGTGAAACTCTGTCTCTACTAAAAATACAAAAATTAGCCAGGTGTGGTGGTGGATACCTGTAATCCCAGCTACTCGGGAGGCTGAGGCAGAAGGATCACTTGAACCTCGGAGGCAGAGGTTGCAGTGAGCCGAGATTGTGCCACTGTAATCCAGCCTGGGCAACAGAGTGAGACTCTGTCCCAAAGAAAAGAAAAAGAGAAAAGAAAAGAAAAGAAAAACTAGCTAAATTGGTTGTGTGTGTGTGTGTGTGTGTGTAAACATTTCACAGACATTTACTAAGCACATTTCCTTCAAGAAGAGAAGAAACAAAAGTTTTTGTCAATAAGTAACTGTGGATATGATGCCTCCCTGAGTTAATTAAATCAACCCAGACTATTTTTCGTTGCCATGAGGGAGAGAGAGTACACCCCTGTCCCTTTATGGTGTTAGAGATTGTCCAGTCCAGTGTGCTCTGTGGAACCCTGCAGGAGTCACAGCAGGGCACTACTGAGAAAGTGCCAAGAGGACAGGATTCTCTTAAACCAGAGCAGCACTGTGTGGACCAGTTTTATGAGTTAACTGCTCCTATAAGGGAGATTTGTTTGCATGAAATTTCTTATGGTTGAAATATATTTGCAGAACACAGATCTAGGCTCATTCCCTAATTTTACATATGAGGAAACTGAGGCTTGGGGAAGTGAAATGACATCACTAAGTTAAAGCAGAGCTGGAAACAGTACTCAACGATCTGTATCAGTTGGGGGACTTGGTTGCTGGTTAGATGCCAATTCTGGATAACCAAAGTAAAGACTCATAGAGGCCTGCAAAATTGACAGGAGCCTGATAGTCAGGCTTGGAAATGGCCAGAACCATGAGCACACTGGAAGGCCAAGAAGCTGGACAGAGTTCACAGAAAGTCCAAATAGTTTCATAACCAGAGGAGCCTGTAGAAATGTTGATGCCTGTACTGCCTTTTCTGCAATGCATGGCACCAACCTTCTCCTCTGATATGGTTAGACTGTGTCCCCACCCAAATTTCATCTTGAATCTCCACAGGGACCCCGTGGGAGGTACTTGAATCATGGGGGTGGTTACCTCCATGTTGTTCTTGTGATAGTGAGTGAGTTCTCACGGGATTTGATGCTTTTATAAGGGGTTTTCCCCCTTCTTTGCTCTGCGCTTCTTGCTGCTGTCATGTGAAGAAAGATGTGTTTGTTTCCCCTTCTGCTATGATTGTAAGTTTCCTGAGGCCTCCCAGCCCTGCAGAACTGAGTCAATTAAACCTCTTTCCCTTATAAATTGCTCAGTCTCAGGTATTTCCTCATAGCAGCATGAGAACGGAGTAATACACCCTCTTATTCTCATGTCACTTGATTTAAAGTCCCAGGAGAGAGTTTGTAATTGGCTGGGTTGAAGTCACATGCTCACACTCGGGCTGAATGGGAGCCAGGTCTGGCCCCTTGAGCATCCATAGCGGGACCACTGCCCACAATTAGCCATCCACATTGGGGAAGGGTAATGCCCCAAAGGGAATTTTAGATATTGCAAAGGGGAAATGGATGTGGGCAGCCCAAAGGGCAACTAAAGGGAGCCTGATGGCCCATAGCAGATCCTGATAACATGGACACTTTGTCTCAAGCAGGAAGAGCTACAGCAGGGACAAAAGGATCTTTGCTGATGTTGAACATCAACAGGGTAAGCCTCTTTTCTTCAGTTACATTATTGCTGCAGTTGTGAGAACTCTGACATTAGTCTGTATACACTCCTCCAGCTCATCACTAACTGAAAACTAGGTATTCAATAATCCTATACCCATTGCTGAGCAGCCACTTGTTTAGAATATTACCTTTTTAAATATAGGTGTAGGTCCAAAGTCAGGATAAAGAATAGGTTGAGCCTTTAGGGAAGTCAGAGTTCTCCAGAGAAACAGAACCAATAGGATGTATAGGCATGGGGAGAGGGATTTACTTTTTAAAATTGGCTCATGCAATTGTGGAGGCTGGCAAAGTCCAAAATCTGCAGGGTCAGCAGGCAGGCTGGAGACCCACGGAAGAGGTGCAACTGAGCCCAAAGGCAGTCCACTCATAGGATTCCCTCTTCTTCTGGGCAGGTAATCATTTTCCTATTAAGGCCTTCAACTGATTGGTCGAGGCCCACCTATGTTATCAAAGGTCATCTGCTTCACTCAAAGTCTATTGATTTAAATGTTACTCTCATCTAAAAAATACCTTCACAGAAACATCTAAAATAATATTTGATCAAATATCTGGGTATCATGGCCTAGCCAAGGTAACACATAAAATTACCCATCACAGACAGGTCTCAGAAAAGGAGCTGGGAAGGCTTGAATGACTTTACAGCCAACTGTAGCCACAGTAGGACCTTGGGCAGTCACTTTCCTCTCTGAGTCTCATTATTTGTAAAATGAGGGGTTTGAATTGGGTGGTGTCTAAGGGTTTGAAGGATAAAATGGCAAGGTGAGTGTGAACATCTAGTTTATCTCCCCTCCCAGATTTTTCCAACACGGGAAATTTCCAACAGAGTTTGGGATGGCAGGGACTTGGATCAGACACAGAAGGGAGGCAGAGTGCTCCTTAAGGGGTTTCCTGCCCAGCACCCATTTCCGTCTGCCCTACAGTATCCCAGTTTTTATTTAGATTCCCACCTTCCCTCACATAACCCATGTGCTCAAGACTGACCTCACTGCCAGCACCAGGGATTGGTCCAATTGGCCTAAGCGGATTTCTATCCCCAACCATTGATTGTTTCAGGAATCCAGGCCTGAGCGGATTCGCACGTGACGTCTCCCTGGACACGGGGATGGTTTCACAAAGGGATTGGAGTCACTGAGAGGTAAGGAGAAGTCTGCTGGCAGCTTCTGGGACATTACACCCTGGTGCTGAAGAGATCGCTGCTGGAAAAGGCTGTCTTCCTGGCGATGTTGTCAGGTGAGGCCTAGAATTGTGGCAGCCACTTTGCCGCCAGCACAGGGGAAAGATGAGCCTGGGGAGTCCCAAGAACCAGAGCGGGAGCCCTGATTGCCCCACATCCTATCCCCCACCCCCACCAGTGACGGACCTTTTAAACGATGGGAGCCAATAAATCCTCTTTATTTCTGTTACCGTAGCAAATGGAAACCTAACAGAGACACTATAAAGGCTACCATTCCAATGCTTTTGGAATTAGTGCTGGGAGAACCCGAACAGAGCCCTTCTCCTCTCCCGTCTTCGACAGTCGGGGGGCGGGCCGACCCAGCACGCAGGAGGCCTGCACCGCACAGCCTTCTTGCTGAACCAGGCAGCAGCTGCACCCCATGGGGCTCCCTCCCACGTAAGCCAACGTAGGAAAAGACGCTGCAAATCAAAGATGACCACCCTGGAGAAGCAGGAGAAACCCCCCAACTTGAATGAATGTATCAACATTTGAGAAAATGTAGGAGGTGGATGTTACTCTTTAATCTGCTCAGCATCCTTCCCCTACCCCTTTTGATAATTGGCCTCATCCAGTGGACACAGTTCTTGGAATGAGATCCAGGCTAGGCCAATCAATCTCTCCCTGAAGTGTTTCCTTGAAGCTGCAAGAGAGGAACTCTGTCCCCTCTTGGATTACAGAGCTGGAAGGAGATGAATTTGATGCTACTAGTGTCATGTTTCTAACCAAGGGAGATGGGGCCTAGTAAGGCTTAATGGTCTTCGTTTATTTTCCGTCAGATCTTTTAAGCTTCCCCCATGGTGACCAGCCCCAGAGTAATGCACATTTAATTCAACTTCTAATGCAGGAAAATCAATTGCATTGCACCAAAGACAGTTTATTACATGTAATCTGAAGTTTAATACATAAATAAATAAGCAATATACACACAACATGGCACTTAAGAGTTCAATTTGGGGGCCTATTTCCCCCCAGAAATCAAAATATTTATACTGTCCTAAAATATTTCACATTATGAAATAAAGCTTGTCTGTTTTTTGTTTTTTAATCCAGGCTGGAATTGCTTCAAACTTTTTTTTCTTTTGACTTTTATTTTAAGTTCAGGGGTACATGTGCAGGGTGTGAAAGTCTGTTACATGGGTAAATGTGTGCCATGGGAAACTTTTAAAATAATAATTATGAGGGCTTTTATTTTAACAATACTTTACAGTTCACAAGTTGTTTTCAGATATCTTACCCTATTTTGATCTTCCTCCTCAAATGCTTGTGAATTAGATAGGACAAGTAAACCCACTTAGCAGATGAGGAAACTGAGCGATGAGAAGAACCCAACTACAAGAACGAGGAGCGCCTAACACCCACCCAGTCTAGGATGTTATTAGTCCCAAAAGCACTTCATTCTTTTTGGAGCTGGTGGGGGTGGGGAGATGGAAGCAGGAAGAACCCAAATTGTGTCTACCACTGGAATTCAGATATGCTTCAACTTGATAAAGTAGGCTCACTAGAAGGCTTTATGTTTTCTGCTAGTTTGTTCTGTAGGTTTTTAGAGATCTCTCAGGTGGAGAGGGTTGAATTCATCATACCTCTCAATTCATGGTACGTTATCATCACCAAGGAACTGCTCTTGTTTTATTCAATTACGTACTTTCCTTTTATACACCATCCATATTCTTTTTTTTTTGACAAGGTCTCACTCTGTTGCCCAGACTGGAGTGCAGTGGCGCAATCATAGCTCACTATAGCCTTGACTTCCTGGGCTCAATCGATCTGCCTGCCTCAGCCTCCTGAGTAGCTGGGACTACAGGTGTGTGCCACCACACCCAGCTAATTTTTTTGTATTTTTTGTGGAGACGGGCTTTCACCACATTGCCCAGGCTAGCCTTGAATTCCTGGCTCAAACGATCTGCCCACCTAGGCTTCCTAAAGTGTTAGGATTACAGGTGTGAGCCACACAACCCAGCCCACACTCTATTTATATAGAGTGTGTGGCAAAATAGGCAGCAAAGCTATTCTCTAGTTTCCAAGGTGGGGGTGCAGATAATACTTTAGCTTTTTGAAAAAATCTGGATCATGTTTATATAGAGTTATTCATTTTGCAAAAATCTATTGTGCTGTGTTAGTGTAGCTTTCTGTAAGTATATACTTCATTAAAAATTTTACTTGAAAAAGTCCTGTTGGGATTTTGAATCGTCTTGCATAAATTTATAGATGAATTTGGGAGCGAATTGATATCTTAGAATTGTTAAGGTCATCTTATCCATGAACATGTTGCTAACATTTTAAGAGAGATTCTTGTCATGAGGGATATTGGTCTGTAACTTTTTGGTTTGGGGTTGTTTCTTTCTTTTCTTTTTCCTTGCAAAATCTTCGTCTGGATTTAGTAACAGTATAATGTTGGCCTCACAGAATGAGTTGGGGAGTGTTAACTCCTCTTCAATTTTCTGAAAGAGTTTGTGCAGAATTGGTATTATTTATTCCTTAAATGTGATAGAATTCACCAGAGAAGTTACCTGGGCTTGAAGTTTTCTCTGTGGGAAGGATTTTTAACTTCAGATTCTATTTCTTTAATAGATACAAGACTACACAGATTATCTATTTCTTTTTTTTTTTTTTTTTTTTTTTTTTTTTTTGAGACGGAGTTTTGCTCTGCCTCCCAGGCTGAACTGCAGTGGTGCGATCTCTGCTCACCGCAACCTCCACCTCCCAGGTTCAAGTGATTCTCCTGCCTCAGCCTCTCAAGTATCTGGGATTACAGCTGCCCGCCACCATGCCCAACTTTTTTCTTTATTTTTAGTAGAGACAGGGTTTCATCTTGTTGGTCAGGCTGGTTTCGAATTCCCGACCTCAGGTGATCCACTTGCCTTGGCCTCCCAGAGTGCTGGGATTACTTCCAGTCCTGCAAGCTCCATTAACAGTAAATGCCCTATCCATGTGTACCATTTTACAGGGGTGAACCACCGTGCCTGGCCATCTATTTCTTTTTGAATGAGTTTTGGTAGTGTGTCCAGAATTCGTGGGTTCTTGGTCTTGCTGACTTCAAGAATGAAACCGCAGACCGCTGCGGTTTGAGTGTTACAGCTCTTAAAAAGGCAGCGAGTCTGGAGTTGTTCCTTCTGATGTTGGGACGTGTTCGGAGTTTCTTCTTTCTGGTGGGTTCGTGGTCTGGCTGGCTTCAGGAGTGAAGCTGCAGACTTTTGCAGTGAGTGTTACAGCTTATGAAGGCAGTGTGGACCCAAAGAGTGAGCAGCAGCAAGAGTTATTGTAAAGAGCGAAAGACCAAAGCTTCCACATTGTCCAAGAACACCCAAGCGGGTTGCTGCTGGTTGGCTTGGGCAGCCTGCTTTTATTTCCGTATTTGGCCCCACCCACATCCTGCTGATTGGTCCATTTTACAGAGAGCTGATTGATCGTTTTACAGAGAGCTGATCGTTCCGTTTTACAGAGAGCTGACTGGACTGTTTTAACAGGGTGCTGATTGGTGCGTTTACAATCCCTGAGCTAGACACAGAGTGCTGATTGGTGCATTTGCAATCCTCTAGCTAGACATAAAAGTTCTCCAAGTCTCCACTAGATTAGCTAGACACAGAGCACTGATTGGTGTATTTACAATCCTTTAGCCAGATACAGAGTGCTAGACAGAAAAGTTCTCCAAGTCCCCACTAGATTAGCTAGATACAGAGTACTGATTAGTGTATTTACAAACCTTCCACTAGACACAGGGTGCTGATTAGTGCATTTACAATCCCTGAGCTAGACATAAAGTTTCTCCAAGTCCCCACTAGACTCAGGAGACCAGCTGGCTTCATCTAGTGGATCCTGCACTGGGGTGGCAGGCAGAGTTGCTCACCAGTCCCGTGCCATGCACCCACACTCCTCAGCCCTTGGGTGGTTGATGGGACCACGTGCCCTGGAGCAGGGGGCAGTGCTCGTTGGGGAGGCTTAGGCATGGCGGGCTGCAGGTCCCGAGCCCTGCCCTATGGGGAGGCAGCTGAGGCCTGGTGAGAATTGGAGTGCAGTGCTGGTGGGCCGGCACTGCTGGGGGACCTGGTGCACCTTCCGCAGCTGCTGGCCCGGGTGCTAAGCTCCTCACTGCCCAGGGTCAGTGGGCTGGCTGGCTGCTCTGAGTGTGGGACCTGCCAAGCCCACACCCACCTGAAACTTGCTGGCCCACCAGGGTGGTGCTGCAGCCCTGGTTCTGGTTCGCCTGTGCCTTTCCCGCCACATCTCCCGCAAGCAGAGGGAGCTGGCTCCAGCCTTGGCCAGCCCAGAGAGGGGCTCCCACAGTGCAGTCGTGGGCTGAAGGGCTTCTCAAGCGTGGCCAGAGTGGGCATCAAGGCCGAGGAGGCCCCGAGAGCAAGCAAAGGCTGCGAGGGCTGCCAGCACGCCCTCTCGGTAGTTTATGTCTTTCAAAACCTCTCAGTAGTTTATGTCTTTCAAAACATTTGTCCATTTCATCCAAGTTGTCATATAAATTGCCCTAATGCCAGGCGTGGAGGCTCACATCTGTAATTCCAGCTCACTGAGGGGCTGAGATGGGAGATTGTCCGAGGTTTGGAGTTTGAGACCAGACTGAGCAACATTGCAAGACCCTGTCTCTACAAAAACAATTTTTTAAATTAGCTGGTGTTGTCATACATGCCTATAGTCCCAACTACTCAGGGTCTGAGGTGCGAAGATCACTTGAGTCTAGGAGTTTGAGGCTGCAATGAGCTATGATCATACCACTGCACTTAGCTTGAGTGACAGAGTGAGATCCTATCTAAAAAAAAAATTGTCATAAAATTGTTCATAAAATTCCCTTATCATCCTTTAATATCTAAGAGTCCGTGGGGATGTTGGCTGTCTCATTCCTGATATTGCTAATTTGTATCCTCCCTTTCTTTCCTGATTAGTATGGCTAGAGGTTTTCAATCTTACTGATCTTCTCAAAGAAAGGGCTTTTTGTTCCACTGAATTTTTTCTATTATTTTTCTGTTTTCTAGTATGTTGATTGCCACTCTAATCTTTGCTATTTCCTTCCTTCTGATTACTTTGGATTTAATTTGCTCTTCTTTTTTATAAGAATCTTAAGGTGGAGGCTGAGAACATTGACATGAGAAAAATAGATCAATGGACTCAAACACAGTCCAGAAATAGACCTGCACTTACATGGACAACTGGTTTTTATTAAAAGTGCAAAGACAACTCAGTGGAGAAAGGACAGTCTTTTAAATAAATGGTATTAGAATAACTGGATATCCATATACAATACAATGGATTTTGATTCCTGTCTCATAAGATATTAAAAAATTGATTCAGATGTATCATAGACCCAAAGGTAGAACCTAAAACTCGAACATTTCTAGAAGAAAATCTTTGTGACCATGTATTAGGCAATGATTTCTTAGCTACACCAAAAGCGTAATCCATAAAAGAAGAAATTGATAAACTGGACTTTAGCAAAATTAAGAATCTCTGCTCTTTGAAACATCTGGGTAAGACAATAAAAAGACAGCCCAGAGACTGAAGTAAATATTTGCAAATCATATATTTAATAAAGGACTTGTATCCAGAAAATACTCAGCACTCTCAAAACTCAATAATAAGAAACAACTCAACTTTTTTAAATAGGCAAAATATTTGAACAGATATTTTACCAAAGAAGACATGTAGATGGCAAATAAGTACAGTCATGTGTCACTTAGCAACAGAGATATGTTCTGAGAAATGTATTGTCAGATGGTTCTATCATTGTGCAAACATTGTAGAGCGTACTATACAAACCTAGAGAGTATAACCTACTATACACCTAGAATATGTGGGATAGCCTATTGGATAGGCTACAAACTTGTACAGCAGGTTACTGTCCTGAATATTTTAGACAATT